GAGGTTGCTGTGAGCGTGACGCCATAGTATTCTACCTAGGGCGACATAGTGAGACTCTGTCTCAAAAAAAAAAAAAAAGAGTCATCTGTAGAACCCCAGGACCTGATGAATGCCAGGCCTTATTATTTTGTTCTGCATGGTAGGTGCAGCTGTAACGGGTGTAACCATTACCACCCATTTGATGGCATATTCCATGCAAAATGCCAGACTCCCCATTCCATCTGGCAAGCATTGGGGGGCAAGCATCACAACTTTTTCTGAGCCTCCCTCTGGCCCCTGGTATAAAGTCTGCACACAAGGATCTTTCATTCAGCCCACTGAAGAAATAACCCACTTTTTCTTACCAGGAGGGAGAGGTGATTTCTGGAGGACCTTATCCAGAAAGTAGACCAGTTGGTAGGTCTTCCAGGGAGAAATGGCCACAGCTTCAATGCTTTTCATGTCCAGCTCCTCAGCTGCCCACAGCTGAGCCAGCTCTTCAGCTGGTTTCATGAGTGAGTCCCCAGGGGAGAGATCAGGAAGGTAGGGAGGCCAACCAGGGGTATTCAGCCATCTGTCAAACTCAAAACCTGTTTGGTAGAAGGAGAGAAGATACTACCAGAATCCTCCGGGTAGGTTATAGTCAACTTGCTCAAGTGACTCCCAGAGATCCTGAGCTCCTGTTTTTCTCCCTCCCAAACTCTCTCTCCAGCATTTAACATCACTTTACTACACAACTACTTGCTCCAGCAGGGGCCCAATTATAACGATATCTAGAGACTCTCATAGTAAGACTGGACCACGCCTATTTCTACTATGAAACTATTCTGTGCTCCAAATTAACATTGTGTTGTCAAAGCCAAGGTGATAGATGCTGTATTCGGGTACACATTCTCCTCTTGATTACCAGGACAGCACTATGCTTAAGCACTGGGACTCCAGGCTGCCTGGGTTCTCTTCGCAGCTCTGCCATTAACTAGCTGGGAGGCCAGAGGCATGTTAATTGCTTCACCTTTCTGAACCTCTGTTTTGTCTGTTAAAATGGTGGGGAGATGGGGCAAAAGGCTCTTCTTTAGTCGACAGCTGTGAGGATTAAATGAGCAAATATACATTAAAAGCCTTCACGTATTGTCTGGTTGCATAGTAGGTACTTAGTAATTTTTTTTTCCCCTCAGAAACAAAGTCTCACTCTGTCGCCCTGGCTAGATAGTGTGCTGTAGCATCATAGCTCGCAGCAACCCTGGGCTCAAGGGATCCTCTTGTCTCTGGAACTACAGGAGCCCACTATCATGTCTATTAATTTTTCTATTTTTAGTAGAGACAGAGTCCCTTGTTCAGGCCAGTCGCAAACTCCTGTATTCAAATAATCCACCCTCCTTGGCCTCCTAGAGGGCTAGGATTACAGGCATGAGACACTGCACGCGGCTAGTACTCAGTAATTACTAACTGTTGTTAGCTATAAGAATCTATGACCTTGAAATGCAGGTCTTCAAACAAAAAGTAGGCACTTCTAAGGCCTGACCAATTCCCCCAGTCAGAAGTGTCAGAGTGACACAGGGTTCCCAGCATCAAGGGAGGGGATGTCTCACAGACTGTCTCATCCATGACAGGACATTTTCTACTCTCATAGGACATGGTTCCTCCCAAGCTGACATTAGAGTAGCCTCCTTCAGAAGGCCATAGAAGCTACTGCATGGTCTTAAGGCAGAAACTATGGCCACAGTGATCTCTCAGGGCAGAGTAAAGGGTCTGATTATTGTGTCCAGGTATGAGGAAAATCGGAGAGAGTAAGACAACAAAATAGGAGAAAATGAGGCAGAGAAGAGGCAAGAGAAGTCATTTTTGTGGAATAGAGCCTACGATCCTGAATTTGCTCCCCAGTATACCACTTACTAGAGGACTTTGACCCCGTGTTCTCCCAACCCTCTTAGTCTTCCCTAAGGTAAATTAGATATAATTCTCTGCTGTGCCCTAGGAGACGTGGGACAGTTCCTCTGCTTACCTGGAATGGAATCCACTTTATTTTTCTTTAGCTCAGGGAAATACTCCAAATAGAACTCCAGAAAGTCTTCAGCCATGATACTTTGGAATTTGAATTCATCAACATAGGCCTGTGGGAAGGGCAGTGCTCTGCAGTGACCCTTTGGCCCCATGGGGAGGGGACTCCCCCATGTCGTGGCCCCCTCCAACCCCTCACCTCTTCTGCCCCCGGCTCCACCCTTGTACTCGGGCCCAGCTGCTCCATCTGCTCCTCTTCCTTCTCCCCTCCTGAGAGAAGTGACTATACCTTGAGAAAATTGTCAAACTGGTCTTGATCACCCACTAAGTGGGCCAGGTATGAGACAAAGCAGAAACCTTTCTCATAGGGGGTCTCATTGTATGTGTCATCTGGGTCAACACCTGGCAGAGGAGAAAGCAGACAAAATTGGAGTCGTTGTAAACTGTCACCCTTATTGTTCTTCTCTAAATCCAGCTTCAAAGATTCACCATGGAAGAGATCACAACTCAGCTTCCCTGAGGATGACAAGGCCAAGAAAGTTTACAGATCCATCTTGGCCTTTTCCCAGGCACTTCAAAGGAGGTCTCAGTGGGCCATTAACCATGGCTCTAGAAAGAGGACAAAGACTGACCAGACTTCCAGGAATTGATGTGTCCTTATTCCTTGGATATGCCTTGCTTGGGTGGGTTCCATCAACTCTTAGGACGGAGCACTGGGCTCTGTCTTTTCCAGACCTATTGGTTACCACCTAAATACTTGACCTCATCTCCCAGAGCAACGTGTTGTTTTTACGATTGTTCTAGGCTAAAACTAATGACTAGACTATAAGAAGTTCAATTTCATAGTCAGTGGCATCCAGGAACATGAACTTCAATCACACAAAAAGATTTTAGATTAGTCACACATAGAATAAAGAAGAAGGTTAGAAAATAAAAAGATTTGAACTTGGAAAGAGGACTTGGGGTCTGAGTTCCAGTGATGCCATTTAA